AGTCTCCAACTAATGATAGACCGACCAAGCAACCCAAGTGTGCTGGTGTGATGTCGTCAAAAGTGGCTGGTGTGATGACGTCAAAAGTGGCTGCTGTATTAGACCCGCACAAATATCAGCATTGGTAAATCAACGACGATAATTGCATCAATGGTTAATGAAATTGGATGCTCCACGACATCTGTTGTTCTTTCAACAAGTACAGTCCACCGTGAACGACAGCTTTTTCGTTGTGAAGCTGCGCAGAATATTAAATTACTAGGTAGATGACTTTCTACCTAGTAAGTCCGTCGTTCATTGGGATGAGCAAACTACTACCTGACATCACTGGAGTAGACACCAACCAAGTTGATAGATTGGCAGTTCTTGTTTCTTCACTTGTTGATGGAAATATTAAACTGTTGGGAGTATCAAAGTTGACATCTGGAGCAGGACAAGTGGGATCGGAGGCAGTTCTTGACCAAATCATGGCAGTGCGATCAACTAGGAACAAGTTTATTGGAATGTGCTGTGATACAACAGCCTCAAATACCGGCAGACTGAGTGGAGTCTGCACTCTTCTGGAGAAGGCTCTCGGTCGCAATCTGCTACGGATGGCATGTCGCTACCCACACGTTTGAGACGCTGTTGTCTGATGCATATGGAGTGTGTCTAGGTCCGTCAACTGGACCGGATATTTTGATTTTTAAAAGATTCCGAGAGAAATGGTCGGAGTTGGTCCACCGTCAGCCTATACCACGACCAGTGCCATTGGTGAGTGCAAGTGACAATCTAAAGGAGTTAATTGCTGAGCAGCTTCAACTCAGCCATCCATGAGATGACTATCGAGAAAGCTATCATCCAACTGGCAGTGACTTAGGAAGATAGGTTTGAGAAATGAGTAATTCCGCTGTTGTTTTTGTAGGAGCACCAGTACGCAAATGCCTGGTGCCGTTCACAGAGCACGTTAGATTGGCAAAACAAGCTGGCGATTTATGCAATGAAGATAGACATATGCTTTTTGATGAGTAACGAAGCTGAAATATAGTTGACTTGCTCTTGGCTGAGGTACCATGACAGCGACGCATTCAGCGATCTTCAATAGCGTTGTTGTCAATGTCAACATGCAGCATCTTGGTACGTCAAGTCGAGCCATTGCTGAATGCACCATAGAATGACATTCAATTGTACATTAGCAAAGGCTCGACTTGATAACCAAGTATGAAGATGCTGGACATTGACAGACAAAAGGTATTAAAGCTGCTGAAGCGTCACGCCCTGGTAATTCACGCTCAGCCAAGAGCTTTAGCAACAGCTTCCTTGATCTCATCAGCAAGTAATGTCTATCTTGAAAGCAAAAACCCAGCTATGTGTTGACAATGCAACGTGCTCTTTGAACGGCATCAGGCTTGCGAACTAGTGCTGCCCCATCGCATTTTAAACCAATCAAAAAAGCAGTAAGTTGAAGAAATTCTCGATAGTCATCTCGTGGATGGCTGAGTTGAAGCTGATCGGCAATTAGCTCCTTCAGATTGTCACTTGCGCCTAGCACATCAACTTGTAAATAACTTGCCATGTGTTGATGATTGCACTTAGCAGGGCGTTGCTCTCAACTAAAATTTGAATGCAGCAATAACAAAGAATAAAGAATAGAAATAATTTCTACTTCAGGTTGTTGAAAACCACCAACAAGACTTTTCCAAATGTAATTGTGACAATCTTAAGGACATTTAGATTTTACAAGTTATTTATTATATTTTAGAATGAGCGAATAAAACCTTGTTGCAAATATATATATATTTATTATCTTTAATTATGCTCAAACGAAAATTTAAAAATTGCGTTTTCTATTGCTAAGTGTTAAACTAATTAAAGTTAAAACTGGCTTTGCTTGTGCTTGAAATCATATAGAGATGTCCTATAAACCAATTTTGTTCTAAACTCTACCAGGAACTAATCATTTTTACTATATTTTTATGATCGATTAGACATGTAATCTGTATTCTGAAAACTTGATGACGGCGAACCATGAAATGCCATTACGAAAATTCCGTGACATCGCTAAAACTTTATGACCCTTGGGAGAACTGTAAATATTTTCCTATTTTCCAAATGAATTTAAAAAAATTATGGGTTGTAAGGAGATTGCAAAACAACTTTTAAGAGGGAGTGCATCAAAAAATTCAAGAAAAAATTTAACTGGAACAGCCTAAAATATATATATATATATATATATATATATATATATATATATATATATATATATATATATATATATATATATATATATATATATCTGTGTACAAATTTCAATTTGTTTAAATATTAGATTATTATATATCATTAAAAGGAGCTTTTAAAAAACAATAGAAAATTAAATATTTTATGAAAATTGGACTCTAAAAAAAGTAAAAAGCATTATTGTGACCAAACTTGATTTCAAGGATTTCTAAACAAAACTGTGACAAATTTATAAATTTTTTGTAACATAAACTACACAAACATTTTTAAATTATTTTTTATATGACTACAACATGGTATCAAAAGATAGGTTTACAAATGGTCTACATATTTTCATTGCTATCAAGCCTCCAGGCATTCAGGGAGCCACAGGGAGAACTAAATCACTTTCATAAAATGTGTATTTCTTGAATAAAGGAGAGTTATTTTTTTTTAATAATAATTTTGATATAAACAAAGTTTATATCAAATTTACGTAAAGTTAAGCAATTTACTTAGTAGTTGTTCAGCTTTACGTAAATAAAAACATATAAAAAATTTCTTAAGCTTTTATTTACGTTAAGCTGACCAATTACTGAGTAAAAGCAATTGCTCGCTTTTATTCACCCGGCCTTATAGGTACAGATATATATATATATATATATATATATATATATATATATATTTATATATATATATATATATATATATATATATATATATATATATATATATATATATCTGTACCTCAGAGGTCAACTATCGTAACTCACATTTGACAAATTTTACAGGAGAGCCAAATGAAGTTACTACACTTCTTTTAAACCTCCAGGTTTCTAACTTTTTGAAATGCCCACGCTTACAATATTTTCCCACTAAAACAAGACGGTCTCCCTGTGACAGTTAAGATAAAAACCTGAAAATCAGCAATTTTTGCAGTTACGATAGTTAACCACTGGG